CAGCCCTCAAGACTGCAACCTTCGTCAGTCTTGATGCAATGGTGGGCATAGGGGCTTTGCCCCTATCCAATTTGGCATTCTGATTGTAGACCTGAGCTCTGGGAAGGTATGTGGCATTAATAGGTGCCACTTGGTGACAGATCAGGCTGTGATATGATAAGAACAGGAAGAGGATTCCTGCAGGAGTTTCAAAAACCTGTCCACACAGGGCCAGCTGCCATAAAGATGTATAGTTCCAAAGACTGACCTTGATAGCAGTGAACCAGCTGACAAGAGTGGAGGGTCTGACCCAGGGGTTGGCAACCCTTTGGCACATGTGCCAGAGCATGGCATATGAGGTCATTTTACTCCACACACCACAGCCGGCCTAGGCTCTGGACAGGTGCCACTGGCCATGGAGCTTGAGTTGCTCGTAGCAGGTGGCCGGGAGGCTGCAAGCCCTCCTGCAAGCAGCTCGGGCTCTGTGTCTGGCAGCAGCTGCCCAGAGCCCAGGCCAGCTGCACCGGGCTTCAGAGCCCCAGCCATGCTCTGTGGTGGTGGCGGGTGGCCAGAGTTGCACTGCCCCAGACCCCTCCCCTGCTGTCTGCCCGGAGGCATGTATGCATCTGCCACCACTATGGAGCCCAGGCTCTGGACAGCTGCAGCAGGCAGTGGGCAGGCTGGAAACAGCTGCACTGGCACCAGCTCCACACTGGTAGCAACTGCATGCATGCCTAGGGGCCCAGGGTGGGGAAGGGGCTGGGGCAGCATAACCCCGGCCCCTCCCCCACCATCTGCTCAGAGGCACATGTGTTGCCACCGCCAGCAACGAGTATTGGGCCCCTCTTGGCTCCCCTACGTTCTGCCCCTGGCATGCCAAGTCGAAGCATGGGTCGGGGTTGGGGTGTTTTTGGCACTCCAGCCAAAAATGTTGTCGATCCCTGATCTGACCTGTTATAGCTCTGTTGGCTCTAAGGAGAAGATGCGAGCTGGAGACACTCTGTGCCTTTATGTGTTTCTAGCTAGGATTTCAACCTCATGCAGCTCTGCTGACACGCTGAAGGTGTAGGCAAATGGCTGCCCACTCTCAGAGCAACGTGGAGCCTGCTGTGATTACCATTGCTCCTGACAACATTCATGACTTCTTCCTTCCCTCTTTTATTCCATCCCCTATATTCTCCCTGACCTTTTACCTCTGGGGGGGAAGTCTCCTTGAACCCATTCCCTTCTCTAGTGAAAGATCAAACACATCTTAGTCTGAAAGTCTACAGGCCCCATTCTGCAACCCTTCGCTAAGAAAAGTGAGATCAGTGGGACTTTTGCTCCAAAAACCTCTGCAGAACTCGGCCGTACAGATTGGAATCTCCTTTGCTGCCATTCCTCATTCGCAGCATCTTCTGTACATGGAAATCACACGTGTATCTGTCCGTTATTTGCTGTGCCTAAGATAATACACCAACCTTTAGTATCATACTTTGGGGCCCTTGCCAATTCCCAGGGAGGAAGGAAAATAAATCCATCATATAAGTCATTCATATGAATCAAAGATCGATTTATGAAAATGCGATCAAAATAGAGGAAGTCAGCATTGTTCAAGGGTCACTGGGCCATTAATATTTGATGGGAGCAAGCATAATGAGAAACTGTACAGATTGCTTCAAGCAAGTAAGAGATTGAATGAATTCTAATCCCTTATCTTCCTTGTCTTGATTTTATTTTTCTCTCATTCTTCGTGTTAGTCAGAGAAAGATGAGCAACTTCAAAACTTTATGGCATATTGCCAATCTTCATTGTGAAGTAGGAAATAAATTATTCCAATAAACTGAGTTTCATGGCAATTCCTTCTTACCTGCCTCATATTTGTATTTCTTCGGGTAATGGTTCACAGGCATGGTGAAACAACAAGCAGGTTCAAGTGTCAGATGAATTCTTTAGGATGCTAAAGAGTATTTGTCTTGCTATCTAGGTGTCATAAATGTCTTCATTTGAATCGATTCCTACAATAAAATAAGATTAATCCTTATACAGATTAACCCAGATCAATACAATATGATAAACAGATTAATTGTTTGTTACCAGTAAAGAAGAAAGTTTGGTTTTTACACAGAGCCTTCAGCACATAAAGTCAACTGCCTGTAACTGCGGTCATCTGTTTCATTAGATCCCTGCAATTGCTATTGACTTAATCATGTCATAATATAAAATATGCAAAACAATTAGTCCGTTTCAGCTTCTGTCTTGGAGAAAATACTTTGTTCACTTACTAGAAAGGTTAGAATCCTAATAGTAACAGTGTGAATGCAAACACTGAACTTCCACTGATTCCCAATCACATAGCCAAAGTTACGCATTTGAATTAGATCTGGATTAATCAAATGAAGTACTGACCAGCAGTTTTGTTGACGTTACATTGCCAATAGTTTGAAAAATCATCAATTCGGCAGCACTGCAAACTTTGCTAAATAGAAAAGAGGCAAAATTTGTTTGGTCAGATGAATGGTTATTTGCTCAGCTTTTCACAGCAGCAACTATAAATCCCATTATTTTATTGGTTTATTTATTTGCAAATTCAGGCACAAAGGTATGTTTATCTGGAGCTGCGCATGTAAAATCCCCAACCAGATGATCTTCCAAAACAGAAAGCTGTATTGCATAGTAATCTTAATTTGCATGTTATTTTGTAATTGTATTTTGGGTGGTGCAAAGGATAAAGAAAACAATAAAAATCCACCTTAGCTAGTATGTCGCAGTCCTTTATCTAAGTAACTAGTAACGTGGAAATTGCTTTTTAATGTGCTAGTTGTTACAAAGATCATTAATATGAAGGAACCAGTTGGAGTTACTGGTATTTTTCAGCTGCACGTGTCTTTTGATTACAAAACCCTTTTGATCTGGCCACTTCTTTATCTGCTAAAATAGAGGGAAGAGTGCGGATATTAAATTATCTCTCTGAAGAGCATGCAATCCCTTTCAAAACCACAAATGGACCCCTGCTTTCTATTAATACAATCAACTGCAATAACATATTTCCTCTTAACTGTCCTTTTAGTTATCTGGGTCTTTCATCGCAAAGAAAGGTAATTAAAAAGCAGCCAAATTATACATTGTTCTAAATTCAGTCACTCTGAGGAAAGATATGAACTAAAGAAGCTTAATTTTTTATAATAAAACCTATCAGTGAGACCCACTGGTGCCAAGGTCTATCGTTAGGAAAGAGCCTGTGAATTTTCTGATACCAAGCCTCTCTCTTCTTGGCAGCCTGACTGAAGAAGCAGCCGAGTTAAGAAACACGTGCTGTGTAAACAGGAGAAGCGGCACTCTCTCTCCTGCGGTCTGGGATGTCGTCATCTATTTTTCAGATTGGTGAATAACGATGTGCCATTTCTTTTCAAGAGACCCAGGGATTGGAAGGGCAAGGTCGCTAATTGCAAACTGTCAGCCAGCCATTTTGCAGCTGAGTGGACCAGCAGAATTGTGCTCGTGGACAAACTCCTTCTTGAGTCTACGGACGGTCTGTGCAAACGAAGCACTTTGCCATTTGTGCCGAGTCAGGGGTCCTGTGGAGTTACACAGCATTTTGCGCATAGCAACAGATTGCAGCTTCTTTCTGGTCCAGCACCATGACCCTGCTCAGGTTCCTTTTTTGAGGGTTAAATTAGCCCGGGGAGGGCAATTATTTCGGGCTGAGGGCCACTTACTGAGTTTTGGCAAGTCATCGAGGGCCACATGACAGGCAGCAAGGGGCAGATAAATATTAACTTTCTAAATTTTTTAGGGGGCCTGAGGGCTGGAGAGAATGGCCTGGCGGGCTGCATTTTGCCCACCCCTGAATTAGACAATATTGGATGCTCTCCAAGGCAAGATTGCTTTTTTCTTCCTTCTGGAAATGTTAATATTGACTTGACTTTTCAAAAATAATAATTAGCGAATTTGCCTTGCACAAAATTCTTTTGACCATGCATTTGCCTTTAGCAAAGATATTATTAAAAATCTTTTTATTTATTTATTTATTTATTGCCTTCTTGCAAAAAGAGAGAAACACCTGAAACGTGGGTGTGGTACTGGTGATGGCCCTTTCACTGCGGTAAATAAACTTACTTGATTGTAACACTGTTGTTCGCATCCATGGAAAACAAAGCTGATGTATCCATTAGGGTCCCTCTTAACAAACCGATGAAGAGCAGGCAAAGTTCCCAGGAGGTTCATAACCATGAAAACCGATTAGGAGGATGAACAGTGAACTGGAGATCCATATTCCTAAATAAGTCCTGCACCCTCACACCCCATTATAGAGCGTGCATTAAAAAAAACAGAGTGAAGTCTTTATTTGTGCTTTAGTATATGTAACTATTGTATTTTATAAATATTTACACATTTGATATTTCTTATTTTATTTATATTCATAAATATTATATTTTATTTCTCCTTTATTATATGTAACTATTACATTTTATACATATTTATACATTTGATATTTCTTATTTTATTTATCTTTATAAATATTATATTTTATTTCTCCTTTATTATATGTAACTATTATATTTACAATTATTATATGTAACTATTATATGATGGCACTATAATTGTAAAGCGTGTAGGCAACACTCTTTCCAGCTGTGCCAAATCCACAGGTTTGCCTGCAGCCGCAGGTTCAAATTCAACCCCTCGCATCGGATTTGTTTTGGCCACTGTGAGAGCCAGGATTTTCGATTAGATACGTCACTGGCCTGAACTGACACCCACATGTATTCCTAGAAGGGTGGGGAAACAGAAGATAGTGATTGAACACGTGGTGCCGGTGACTGCCAGCTGCGAGAGACCGATTTACAATTCTCTAAACAGCCGTGGCATAAACTGTGGCTGATTAAACAGAATGAAACGTGGCTGGTTCTGGTAGGCAGAGAAATGAGGTACAACCCACGGCACGTCTCTACCCTGCATAGCAGCCCCCTCCTGAAGTCTCCTAATCGTCAGGCACAGCTACCAGTGCTTTTATTAATTAATTTTTCTTTTCTTTACAGTTTGTCGCTCATCCCAATTGCCAGCAGCAGTTGCTCACCCTGTGGTATGAAAACCTCTCAGGCTTACGGCAGCAGTCTATCGCTGTGAAATTCCTGGCTGTCTTCGGAGTCTCCATTGGCCTGCCTTTCCTCGCCATAGCGTACTGGATTGCTCCCTGCAGTAAGGTACAGACTGGCTAAGGTGCATCTTGCCTACGGTGATTAATGCCCGGTGTCTTGGACTGAAGACTAAACTGTTTCTTCCCCCTAAACTAATGTGGTTTTTCCATACAGCAAGCTCTGGGAGAGTTTTAACTGAAGTGCTAGGGCAGTAAGAGGGAGTCTTTTGCAGTTTGTGTTTTAAGAGTAATAAAGATGGAGAAGGAGATTAGAAAATATAAGAAGGCATGAATGGAACTAGGATGCAGTGGGAAGGATGTGAGAAAGTATGAGTGAGATGGAGAAAAAGAGGAGAAAACATAGGTCAATAAAGGGAAAGGATCCTATCAGTATTGTTTTCTCTTTCCATTTTGTATTGGGTGTGGATGGGCATGGGGAGGGGTTCCTCCTCTCTGCATTGGACCTTTCAGGCCTCTCTCTTCTTCTCTTTGTTTCTCTTGTCTTTATTTGTAGCTAGCGGGCATCATGGGAGGCAGGGAAAATGAAGTAGCGATTCAACCCGTGATGAATTATAGCTTGTCAAGATGAAGAATAAAGCGAGTCATGATACCCAATAGCAAAATACAGCCCAGTCTCCAAATCATGGGGGCAAAATTTAAACAATATTAAAAGTTGCTCCATTTCCATTATGGCCATTGGGTGACTGAGTTAAGTGCTGCTAAGACTTAGAGATGAAGGGACCAGAGCCAGACATTGGGAGGCCAGTAACACTAACAATTGTCTGCTGTAACAATTCTCTGGTGGGTTTCCATCCTAAGAGAAAGTGCTCAGAGAGGTGGAAATAAATGGCTGCTTGGTGAGGAATAAATAGCGTTTTTTCCACTGCTCCGGACAAAAAATAGAACAATTTTTTCGTGAAAAACAGTCGCCCATATTATCCATTAGACAGTGTCTTTAACAAAGTGATTATGAAATGCACAAAAAAGTGACAGGAATGACCCCTGGATTGCTAGCTTACTCAGTCCTCAAAGTATTTTGTCTCATGTGCTTTAAATGTCTGTAAAGAATCCTTCCTCAATTTGCTAAACCCAAGAAATGACTGACCCATTGGTGTGCATTAAGGAGAGACTATAATTTGAAAAGATTAATTTTAAGACTAATCGTCTGGAAAACAGATGGGCTTCTAAAATAGATGAGATTATAAGTGATGTTTAAAACCCAGCATCCTTCAAAATAACCAAGACTAGCCTCTATTTCTCAAGTTAATTGAAAATGTGAATCTTATTTTTTCAAGGGGTTCAGCTTATAATGACTCATTAACATCCATTAGAACAACTTTCCTTTAGAGCCTTAATTTATAATGATGCTTTCCTGCATGTTAAAAGCAAATAAAACATTTCAAGAGCAAATGGGTAACTGGAATGATTGCGCCCCGATCCAAAAGAGACACCTGAGTTTGCTTTAAAAATATGCAGTTACTTTTACAGCTACTGCATTGAATGGAGCTACTGACCTCTGGGTGCATCTATACATGCACATTTAGTGCCCAGTAACCAACATTACTGTGCAGTATGTGTGCATGTCTACATGTGCACACCTGTACTATACAGTAAATATGGCAACTTATACCAACTTGAGTTGAAAATTGATACCTGCATCTTGCATGTATCTAATTTAGACCCAATTAGTTACTGTGTTGAAATGCACATGTAGACGCCTTATTGCATCATAACACTGTGTGTGTGGACTGACTTGGGACTAACTTTAGTCCCAAGTCAGTCCACACACAGCGTTGATTTGCTTTATTGCCTGCCCATGTAAACGCTGACCTATTCCCACTTACTGCAAAGTAATTTATTGTGCAGTAAATTTAAGCCATCATAAATGCATGTGTAGATGCTTGCCCTCTGTAAACTTAAGCATGTGCTTCAGTTTTTGCAAGAATAGAGGATCGCTTTGTATATTCTTGGTTATAAACAGGCAGAGGCTGGCAACTTATAATAGCAGGTAGATCAATTATTTCTATAAATGACATATGTATGCAGACATTTAAAATACAATTTTTAAAAGTGAAATGAAACTGAGAGCATGACTTCAAAACAGAGGCTAATTTTAAAATGGAAATAGGGCATAGGCAATAATTTAAAAGTGTGGCTATTTTATAAAGTATGCTTAAGCCCATGTATTTCATTGAAAAAGGGGAGGGGAACTGAATATGGCTACCTTTTAACTGGTGTGTCTACACATTCATTAATGTGCTTTTGATAATGAAGATTAAAATTTGGTTCATCCATTGTGAGGTTACTAGAAAAAGCCGCATTAGTCTATTTTAATGTGCATTCGCGAAAGCGCATGGTTTTTCATGATGCTTTAATGTGCATTAAAATAGGATAATACACATTAAAGTACAAATGTAGACACCCACTGGGCACATCTACATGAGCATTAATGGCCTTTTCTAATGCACATTTTGTTTAGTACCTCCAATGTGAGGTACTAAATTAATGCCCATTAGGCTGCACTAATGTGCTGTAGTGCATTTGCACACTTTTTTATTGAGAATTAGAGTAAGATCACAGACAGTTTTTTACATGATGCTTTAATTTGGAATAAAATAGTCTACCACGTATTAAAATGCACATGTGAATGCACCCACTGATTTCAGAATTACTACATAAGGCACTAACTACTCCAGGCAACCTCACTCTCTTATCACAGACACTTTAGTTCTTCCTCCCCTCTCTTCATCCTAGAGTTTGCCAGAGTCACATGCTGCATCATATCACAAATTTAAACTGTGAGACTCTGCAGCAGGGATTTATTTTAATTGTGTTTTTTTAAATGAAGGGATTAGCACTGCTTTTTGCCAGGGGCCTCTGCATGGTTCCATAACACACATAAATAGATGAATCTAATGCACATAATTTCTAACTGTTCTTCCACGCCACCCAAAATTATGGCTATTAGATCCAAGATCTGGTTCTTGGCACACATGCCTCCCATCACATCACAGATGGTCAGTGTCCTTGTGGACTTTTAGACAATCATAGTACCCGCTAAGGAGATGGAGAGATTTGGGCATGGTTCCTAGGTGGTGCTCAGGTGCTCTGAGAAATCTGGCGATGCTCTTCATTTTGTGAAAAGGACTTGTTAGCTAGGTCAGAGTTATACCTGAATCTTCCCTCCGTAGTAGATGCTTAGAGGCATGGGCAACTGATGCCTCCTGAGTCTGGGGCGGGCACCTGAAGAAGCTGGTGGCAATGTCAGGGGTGGGGACGGGATTGACGAGCACTCACAGATGCTGCTGGTGGTGTTGGTGGCAGGGACAGGACTGGAGAGCACCCGCAGATGCTGCCGGTGGCATCGGGGACAGGATTGGCAAGCACCCACAGATGCCACTGGCAGCGGCAAAGACAGGACTGGTGAGCACCCGCAGAGGCCACTGGCAGCATCAGCAGTGGGGATAGGGCTGATGAGCACTGCAGATGCTGGTAGTGGTGGCAGGGACAGCCCTGTCAGGGGGCATGTGCCCCCCCTACCAGTCCCCTATGCTTAGAGGCACAACTGAAGGAAAGCTGGACTCTGTGACTCAGGAACACCAAGGAAGCATAGTGGTGTCCTGATGGCTCCTGAATGATTTTGCCTGCAGCTGCAGAGACTCATTATCCTGAAAAGGAAGCTTGGACAAGAAAAGTAGCTTAGCTCTATGATGCCTCTGCAAGGCATAAGAACCCCTCAAGGCTCAAGTTGTGCCCTCATTCCTCAATCCCTTAACCTTCCCTCAGCAGGTGCTTACTGCAGTCCCTGAAGGGACCAGAACCTTTGGAGGTCTCTGTTTTTGAACTAACCATCTCCAGGATGGGTCATCAAGGCTCAGAGCTCTCTTCCACAGGCTGAAAGGGTTTTGTTCCTCATAGAATTTTTACCTGGAGCTAAAAACTTGAGGAAATAAGAACTGAAGTTGTGCTGCAGTAACTATTCTTCCTCTTCTATTTTGCTGCTGTGACAAAAAGGGAAGCTGTAGCTGTATCTGTAGCTTGCTGCAGTTGTAGCTAGATCCTTTACTATTAAGGAAATAGGAAGTAGAATTAGAGCTTATTGTTTTGCATTTTCCTTTCTGCTCATCAAGGTTGAATAAACCTTGACTCCCGTATGAACATGACTCCTGTAGGGAGGTATTGCAAAAAATACTGCCGAACTTTACAAATCTGGAAAGACTTACTGTTATATAGCAGGGCTAGAGTATTGTCAGCGCCATGACGGTCCAGGAAATGTACAAGAAGGAAAGGCTTTTTATGTTATCTTTTATTAGGCCAGCTGTATATAGTTAGTTCTGACAAGCAATGAGGATAATTTCTACTCCACGTGTCTTAAAATGTATCAGCTAAATTTTGCAGTCTTTACATACACGCAAATGCCATTCACTAGAGGAGATCTAGAGAAATTCTTCTGCAGGTGTATCCTGAACAGGATGTGGCTGTAGATCATAACCCCCCACTGGGAATTTTGCTCTGGTGTATTTGTTTCTTCCATGATTTACAGCTACCAGCTCTTGAGTTGGTTCCATTCACTTCCAGATCATGCTGACTGTCCCAGTTCGAAAAGCCATGACACATGCTACAAGTTAGCAATTTAACTTTGAAAATTTCTCTTGTATTCAGCTACATGCATCTTTTGGCACCAAAAGTCATTTGAATATGAGCTGTTTACTCAGTCACCTCTATGAAAGAAGAGCAAACTATTGGCTTTATCACAAACTTGATGGTTTGGTAGACAGAGGCCAGAGACAAAAAATGAGGCTTTCTTGCTCTGCAGTTTTCCAAATCAGTAAATATTAAGGCCTGGAAAAGCCAATGTTTTTGGTTCAGACAGCTGGGTACTGATCGATATATCTCAATGAGATATTGATACAAAAATCTGATGCTAATTCAGGGTGCATCTACTGTACTTGCGAGTTGATTAATTAGCTCCACAGTAAAGCATCACAGTCTACATGTGGGCCAATATTACGGCACAGTAAATTAATTAACTCAGTCATAGGATAGTACTGTCAAGGGCTGTATTAT